CAGGTGCAGGGCCGGGCGCACCGGTTCCCATCTCGCGACCCCCTCCTCGGCGATCGGTCCCGGAGCTCCGAGGACCCGCAGGTTTTAGGGCGAAGGAGGCAGGGTCCACAGGAAGCCCCGGGCTCTGACCTGGGGACCCGCCGTCTGGGGACCTGGGAGATCGAGATGCGGGGGCGTGGCTGTCCCCGGCCCAGGTTCGCAGAGCGGGTCACTGTGGAGTCCTCCCCACCCTCGGTCCAGATCCCTTCCCATCGACAGGCGCCTTTTCCTGCTCAAAGAGGACCCTGCCTCCAGGAGGGCTTCAGGATTTGCTGTCCCTGAGCCACCCGGACAGATGGCCCCCGAGTCCCTCACACAGGGCATTGCAATCCTTCCCCCCAAACGTCCTATTAACTGGCCAGGTCACTCACATGCTGCAGTCATGCCCCATTTCTGCCCCTCCCTTGTCAGCCCAGATCTTTGAGGAGCAGAAATACCTGTGGAGCCCCCCAGCTTTCCTTCTCTAGCCAGGCCAGGCTGCCTCACCTGCCAACCACCTGCCCTACCAACCTACCACTAGAACTGCCCTGCACCCCCAGCCCAGCTACTGGGTCCCTGGGCAACATGGGTCCCTGACTGGGGGCTGGGATCTCTGACCACTGCTAGGGACCCCAGGAGCCAGAGACTGAGATGAAGTAGAGGTGGTGGAAGTGGGTACCCCTGGTGAGGCCCCCCTCTGACCTTGTGCCCAAAGCCAGAGACTCCTTGAACCCACCCTGGGAGCCCACAGGTCACTGAGGAATAGGAGTGGAGGCAGGGAACCCCTTCCTGGGTCCTCTGCGTTCCTGAGGACCCAGGGCCTCCACCAGGAATGGGGGAGCTGCCTGCGGCTGGTGACAGCCCCCCTCATTCTATTTTAGGCTCAGGAGAGGTGAGAAGGCGATTTCCCGGGAGGCACTGACATCAATGCTGGGAACGGGTGACTCTCCCCTTCCAACCACCTGCCACTCCCGACCCAGATGCTCAGGAAGGCTGAGGCCATTGTTCCTTCACGCTGGGAACCTCTTAGGGGTGAGGGGGCTCTCGGAGATGAGGACCTACTATGTGACATTCCCTGACAATTACCCAGGAGGGAGAGACTGGGTTCCTCATTTTATAGATGGGGAAACGGAGGCTCCAAGAGGCTGCTGGAGCTTCCCAACGTCATATAACTAGCTGGTCAGAGGTGCATTCCATACCCAGGGCCCCACTCCTCTCTGGCCCCACCTCTGCCTTTTATCTTGGATCTGGAGGAGACTGGTCCCTCTGGTCCATCTATTCCCCCTCCTCCTCCCCACACACAGCACCAGGTGCATCTGTCCTGCCCCACCTGTGCCATGGTCCAGGGCCAAGTCAGTAAGCCCTGAGCCGACGTGCTCCCAGAAGGATAGGTGGGTTTGTCATTTCACCATGGAGGGCCCTGGGCGTGGGGGAGTGTGGATCCCCTCCTTCAACATGCCCAGGACCACACAGCGAGCCCAATCTGTGGCCTGGGCCTCCAAGACTGTGGCACATCCCTACCATGTGTGTCCCGGGCTCCTTGTTGGGGAGACCTTCCTGAACCCTCAGAGTGACTTCTGGGCCAGCTCCAGTGGAGGCTCAATCTTATGGTCCTTGGCCCCCGAGAGTTCCTCATCTTCCTGAGTTCCCAGCTCTAAGCAGGCATCTTGGCCCTCATCTGACCACATCCCATTCCTCAGCCCGAGGCCCCCATCTTGTCTTGCATGTCAGCTCTGCCACAAGCGCATGCCTTTCCCAAGTTGGAAGCCGTTTCAGTTCCCTCACGCACCAAACCAAGGGTCCCGGGGCGGATTCCAACCCAACCCCACTGCGATGGCGGGCTCCTTTGGCCCCCGTGCCCCACTGCCTGTTTCTCCCAGGAGAAGGCCTGGGAACTCCGGAAAGTAGAGGTTGGTGGTCACTGTTTCTGTCTGATGTCACCCTCGGGGTCACGCCTGCTGAGGAAGCCGTTAGGCTCTGGTCCCGTCCTCCCTTAGGCCCCACTACCAGGAGTTCTGGGCCTCCTTCCCCTAGTTCTCCCTGCCCTGTAGCCGATTCTTCCCTCCAGTGTTTCTGCACAGGGGCCACGCTGGGTCGATGTGGAGCCAAGACCTAGCTAGTCTAGCAGCTGCAGGTAAGGGGGTCGGGGGGAGATTCAGCTGCCTCAGTCCTGGGGCAGAGTGATGGGTGGTGATTCCTGCCCATGGAGGACGTTCAGGCCCTGAGCCCCGTCCGTGGGGCCTATAGCAGAGACCACACCAGGCAAGGGGGCTGGGATTCCATCCTGGTTAATGGCTGTGTGACCTTGAGCAAGTCCCCAACCTCTTTGAGTCTCAATTTCATCTGTGAAAAGGGGGGTAGAAAAGCCCTCCTTCACAGTGAACTGATGAGCCTCAGAGAGGTTGGGGGACTCGAGCTACTGGATTAATTTATCCTCCAGTGCCTGGTGCACAGAAGGGGCTCGCACCATCCGTGTTGACCTTAAGGTGCCAAGGAGAAAGCCCAGGACCCAAGGGACTGCTTTATGCCTTGGGGGCCTAGGGGCCCTCTCTACCCAGAGCATGGAGAGACTATGCCTGGTGACGTGATACTGGTGGGTGGAGAGCAGCAGAAGTGCCCACAGTATTGGGACAGGGACTTCACTGTTTTCACCCAGATCCCAGCGCAGTGTCTGCCCTTTCCTCCAGTGGAGGACCACTCCTGTGATTGAATATTCCTCCGGGGAGCCTCATGCTCCCCCCGTTTTCTGACCAGCCCCCTTCTTTAGTCTCTGCAGCTCTTGCCTCGGAGTTGTAGGCATCCAGATGCCAAAATCCTGGGGCGACACCCATCCTTTGAGAGCTTCATAGTGGCACAAAGGTGGTCATGCCCTGAGGGCCCGGCATGCTATGTGAGGGTGCAGGTTTCCTTGCCCACATCAGGGATCCTCCTAGAGTTCTGGGAAACCACCCCAGAAAGTGGGGACCCAGGTAGGAGGTGACTCACAGAGCCCTAAGCAGCTTCATCCACAGATTTACCCTGGAGATGAGGATGCGAGTCAGACAACCATCCAAGGTGGGAGATTAGTGAAATGAACCTATTGAAATGTCTGGGAGGGAGCTCACAGGTGTGTGTGTGTGTGTGTGTGTGTGTGTGTGTGTGTGTGTGTGTGTGTGTGTGTGTGTGTGTGTGTGTAGGTGGCGGTAATGCTAGTTTACCGAGTGTTCGCAGTGTGCCAAGCTCTGGCCCAGTACCTCCAAAGGTCACAAAGTGGCAGGATCCAAATTTGAACTCAGAACTCTGTGGCCTGAAGGCTTACACTACAGGGTTCATAGAGAATATGGAATATAAACTTGAAGAGAGGGGCATTCCAGGTCAGAGACCAAGAGCAAAAGACTCACTATGGTTAGAGACACAAGCGGATCAGCCTGCCTGGATGGGGTCCGGGCGGAGGGGGAGGGGGCATGGCAGAGAACACCAGGAAGCTGGGTGGGTGTGAGGAGAGGACGGTCAGCAGGGGGTGAATAGGGAGACGTGGGACTGGTTGGAGTGGCCGGCCGAGGGGGCAGGTGTTAGCGAATGCCAGGAAAGACAGGACAGCGGGAAGGGGAGCCGGTCTTGGACCAGGAATGAGTTACCAGGTAAGCGGGTCTGTGTTGGCAGCAGGATGGGAGGGGTGTGAGGGATTGGAAGGAAGGACCCTTGAAATCATGTCCTCCAAGCCCCTTTCTTAGATAAGGAAACAGGCTCATAGTGAAGGGACTTGCCCAGTGAGTGTGAGTTGGGGTGTTGGCAAGACCTGCCTTCCCATCCAGCCCAGGTGAAGATTAGAATTCAGGTGGTCAAGGCCAGAGCTACCAATTCAGGTCATAACTTCAAGTGAAAGAGCCCATGTCTACAGGCAAGAACAAGGATCCCAGGCCCTCTTCTGGGGAAGCAGTGAGGCTGGAAGGCTCATTAGAGCGGAGTGACTCGCAGACACCACAGGCCTATGCTGACTGGGTGCACTTAGTAGAGGGGGAGGCTGGAGAGAAAGGCAACCAGGCTAAGCTGGGGCTGCCAGGAATGGGGGAGCCAGGGTTCAAGAAAATGGGAAAGGAGAAAAGAAACCTGGCTTTGGTAATTAGCAGCTGATCCAGTGACCTTGGAATGGACAATGCCAGCGGTGCTTCCATGATGGAGGGCGGGAGGGGGAGGGAGGTGCAGAGGAGGCGGCTATGGCTATAGACCAAGGAAGTAGCCAGAGAACAGGAGGGAGCATTCCTCGAGCTACTGGATCAATGCGAGTGTTTTCCAGGCTGGAGCTTTCAGGGGGAGGGAAGGAGAGCTGGGGAATCCGAGGAGGAAACGGACGAGGCCAGCAGGGGTGGGGTGAACACAGGGTTGGCCTGACCTGGGGGTGGGGGCGAGGGACACTGCTTCCTTTGAGTCAGATGTTGAAGAGGGACTGAGTGGGATGAGGCAGAGGCTGCTGAGTGTGAGCTAAGCTCACGGGTTGAGAGGGAGGGAGTAGGAGGCTTTAAGCCCCCATGTCAAGGGCCACTGAGGGGCCCAGTATGTCAAGTGGCACCCTTCTGTCCTGGGTCCCCTCTAAGTTTATATCCTGGAGGCCGGAACAGAGACAGAGCTACGGTGAGAAGGAGCCTTGGGGCTTGACCTGGTTGAGATGCGATATCCAAGGTCACAAGCGGTGAGACGGGAGGGAAAGTCACACAGTTGGATGTGAGGTCCGGGGCAGATGGTGACAAGGGTGTCAGAACCTGGTGTCTGGGAATAAGCAGCAGGTGGAGTATCAGAGACAAGGTCTGAGAAAGAGGTGGGGGACCCCCTCACCCAGGGCGGCAGGATCATGGGAAAGGCACTGGGGGACGAGGCATCCCCATGTGTCACATCAGGAACCAGAGGAAGCCGTTGTCTAGGCCCCGGGGAAGGGGAGAGGGCCCTTAGCAGGGTCCTCGGAGGAGCAAAGGCTCCCGGGGAGGGTGCTGAGCATGCCCTCTCCAGGCCGCCACTCAGAGAACAGAGCCAAGTGAGTGACCGGAGACGCAGGCCCACCTGCCCTCAGCCCCCGGGGGCTAGGCCTCTGGGGAGGGTGGCACTCACACAGGCTCTCACTTGCAGGAGGCTCCTGTCCTGCTAGCCAGTTACTCTGTCCCCATCAACTGGGCCCTCAGCCCGGCCTCAGGTCGCTGGAGGGCAGAGGAAGGCCCAACACTGTTCTCCAGCCCCATCTCTTAGCTATCTGTTATTAACGAATTTATTTACAGCTCCTGAATCGAGATTAATTGTGAAATTTAACAGGAATGGCATAAAAAGGCCAAACATGACCTCTGTGAGGGTTGTACACACACACTTGCTCTATTTCCAAACTAACAACTCAGGTCCTCACCCGCAGCTAGGCCCCCACTTCTTCCTCCAAAATGAGAACAGAATAGCACCAGGCTCTGGTAGCTCCAACATTTAAAGAGACAAGCACACAGAGGCAGAGAAGGGTGAGAAGAACCACAGTACAAAATGTAATAACAAAAATGTGGCCAAAAAATCGATAGCAAACTCATCCCCATCTCCAGATTAATGGCTTGGCTGAAAAGAAATGGGGGGAGGTCCTTGGGGAGGGAGGAAAGTAGGGGATGGAGACGTTGGCAGGTGAACCACTGACCCTGGAGCAGAACCCCGGGGTGGGCAGCCCAGACTGAGGCAGGGAAGAGCCCAGAGGGGTCTGTCCCCAGAGGGGCATCTGGCCATATCGTGGGCTCAGGGGAAAGGTCAGTGTTGGGCCCACTCCGAGTGCAGGGAGGGAGCTCGGTGAGTGCAGCAGCCGAGCCCCTCCTCTGCTTCAGATGTTCCTGAGATCTGTGTGCACAGCGTGGGGTGCTGGGGGAGGGGACACAAACACAGGCTTTTGGAAAGCAGGAGAGCCACATGCTTGTGAGAAAGGAGGGGGGGAACACCTACCCTGGGCTCTGCGGGGGGCAGGAAGCCAGGCCAGGGTCCTGCTGCTCCAGCTTCTTTGTCATCCCTTCCTGTGCCAACCTTGCCTCTGCCTCCTGGCAGGTGGGCAGCTGGCTATGGCCGGACTAGCCCATCACAGGTCACTGCCCCGTCAGGATCATGGCTGGAGATCGGGTAAGAGAGGGCAGCCCTCAAGCTGACTCTCTTGGTTCTACCTGAAGATGGGGTGGTGGGAGGACTCGATGTGTCCACCCTGCACTTGGCCATGACAACAGCTGTTCACTTGGACTTCAAAGGCCGGGCTTCAGGCTCCTCTGGCTCCATCAGGGAGGCCCTGGTGTGCTGCTCCTCCGTGTATCTGGGCTGCCCTGGCTGGGTGAGCAGCAATCAGCAGAGGTATAACTTATATCTGTGCACCTGGCCCTCGAGTTGGGAGCTGACCGGCCCCATGAAGAGCTGCGTGCTCCAGGGGACTCACAGGAGCAGTTTGCTGCTGGTGCTGGGACACAGGGAGGCAGGGGGCTGGGAGAGGCTGGCTCCCCCGCTGGCAGGCAGAGGGAGGGGAGGTAGCCTGGCTGTCTGCAGGCCCCCCTGGGGGTTACGTGCCTGCAGCCGAGTGCAGGTGGGCTGACAGCTGGCCCGGAGCTGCTGAGCAGCTGGGAAGTTGGTCAGTCTGCTGAGAGCCGGGGCCAGAGGCTGCACACTCAGAACCCTCAGATCCTGGGGAACATCCTCCTCCGGGCCAGGGGGGCTGTGT